GGGGGGGGAAGAGGCGGGGGAGAGAAATAGCGAATATTATTTTCACAGGAACGAATGTTGTGCTATGTTGTCTGAAACAGTGCTGGCAAGGATTTCCCAACATTAAAATCAATGGATTGAATGGGGCCTATGTTAGCTTGAGCAGTAGCTTCTGCCCAAAGATCTTCAGTGTTGTTGACAAGATGGTATAACTTGAAAGGCCTTTGAGGGTAAGGAACTGTAAATCTAGCAACTGTCATGTAGTCTTAAACTATAGGCAAGCCTTGCTGCCTTTCATTCCCATTTTTCTGTGTATTGCCCAGATTATCGGAACAGTGGTATCACGTCAGCTTTGAACACATTCATGGATGATTTGTAACAGATTGTTTCTTATTGCTACTGAAAGTCCTTCTTGCCTGTTGGTTTTCAAGGTTAAATAAAAATGCAAATTTCATTAAAAGTTTTGTTAAGACTTTCCTCAAAAGGTGGTTTTGCTATATATTTCTCAGCCTAGAATTTCCATAATTTAACATGGTATAGTTCAGGATAGCTCTCCTTTTTTTCCCTAAGGTGAGGTGGAACCAGCTGAATGCCTTACATTACATGTTATGCTGATTTTTCTCCTATAATTGAAATGGCAGTGGCCCTGTGATAAGGTCAATCTGAAGAACAGAAGATGGGAAGTGTGATGCTGGAATATCCAAATAGAGACTTTTACAGTATTCTGTGGTGGGCAGGTTCAGGATCAGTGTTTTGCAAATGAAAGTACTTTGTCTTTTATCTATGCATAAAAAGGGGAACAACACAGTTGTATCTTTGGCATCCACTTTTGCAGGTCAAAACATTTAACAAGTAAGCAGTACTGTTTATGTGTAAATTCACCTGAGGATTTCTTCAAGCTTAGACTGTAGACTTGTTACGCTGTTCCCAAAGGTATTGCGCAGAGCATCACAACTTGGTTAGCCAAATACTTTTACTTTCACATATTTCTGTTTCTGGACAGCACTGAGTCATTTCATACTGAAAGTAATTCTGTGGGGAACTTCTGAAGACAAATTATGGTGATAAAATATTTAAGAGAGAATTTTTAATAGCTATTGTGCTGCAAACTGAAGTACTTAGTTGTTTGCATGTGCATGGCCCAGTGCTTAAGAAATTGAAATAACAAGCTAATGTCAGTTTCCATTTTGCATTTCCAGTCCTCTGCATTGTTTGTATAGGCAAATGAGTGCAGTATAGATTATTAAATAATGCAGGTTTAATTTTGCTCACGTAGATCTTTCAAACTTTCTGGCCTTCTGGAATATTTTTATCAGCATACAGAAAATCAGGAAACCCCTCAGTTTCTAGGATTTGAAAAATCACAGAACTGAATGGTTATAAAAAAAGGTACAAAAAAAATTACTAAATAGCAGTGGATACTGTCAAAAAAACCCAAAACCCAACCAAACACCAAAACCAAGAACAGATAAATGTCAGACAGTTTGAGGCAAGAATTTTAGCTGTATTTGTTCCAGAAGGGTCTGTTCTTCCTCCTCTCCCCAAGCGTGCTCCTTTTTGGTGATACATTCTCATTTCCCTCATTGGCAGCTTATTGTAGTATACTTTGGCTCTACACCAAATGTGCTGGGTTATGCATTACAGGTTGTATTGCACAGTGTTATCTGACAAGTATAAATACATAGTTATCCAACTAACAAATCTGTATGTTTTTATTATTATGTTTTCCAGAATATCTCAGTGTTCTATTCTCTAGAAGCCAAACATTTCTGTTTATTACCAAATAGCATCAAATTCTGGTATCCCAATTTGGCTGATTTGAATTCACTTTGAGAGTTCAAGCATCAAAATAATGTCAGTACTGAGCTCAGACTAAGGGATCTCTTTAGGGTTTTGACAGCAGGTAGTCAAGGAACAAATGGAAGAGCTTATGCAGCTGAGTGACATACTGTAAGGCTAGCCTTCTGGTGAGGTATCTCTGACAATATACTTTACAGAATTTTTTTTTTTCAACCAATACCAATTAAAAAATCCCAAAACATATTCATCTAACAGTATGATTAATAGTGCTTATAGCCACAATTATTAGTGAATTCTGCTCTTCCTAATCTTTTTTGTAAAAATGAGGTGTTACTTTTTTAAGATATCAGATTATATTCAGATACAGATTGTACTTTCAGAAAATCTGCTGGGACTTCATGTATTTCTGTGTCACTAATGGGTTTTTGATAGCTTTGGCAGACTGTTCCTGTTAGCTATTGTGCAAACCCCAGAAAATTCAGAATTTTTTTACATCTTGCCTACTGTTTAAAAAAATGGTGATGGCTTTTCAGTTTTCTTTGAGCCTTGAAAAAGACTTTGATCTCTGAAAGCATTTAAATATGATTAGATAGCATCTGAGACCGTACACACTGAAAGTCTATAATTAAGTTTTGTGTGTTGGTCTTCAGGAAAAATTCATTCATCCTGAAATAAAGGACAATATACTTAATGTTTGTTCTTTAGGCAAGGAAAACAAGCACTTTATAGAAAATACTAGTTCAGAAAGTATTAAATAAAAGCTTCATTCTAGGTGAACTTTTGAGGATTGGATTGAGTAAAATTTTTACCTATGGACACAGCTGTATTTCTTCTTTGAATGAACATTTTAGTATCCTTAAAAGGCTCATAAGTTGTTTGAGCAGAAAATGTTATTCATCATTAGCATATTATTTTTTTTTTTGACTGATGGTTTCTCAGCTATTTGCTCCAAGGCATCTCAGCTACCCATTTGCTCTGTGACTTTTTTCTTCAAATGCATGTGATAAATTCAGCATGTGAAAGACAGTAGAAGAGAGTTAGTAGCACCTGGCTTTGTTTACAGTGCAGTATTTTGTTTCTGGTTGATCCTGACCATTTGATATTATACTTTAAATGGAAATTTGCACAAACTGTACAAGAAAAATGGCCTCATTTTTTAATGTTACAGCTCAAAATCTAATCATATTGGTCAGAAATTTCCTGTTGTACACATTGCAGTACTTTGATCTTTTTCATGTTTTGCTTGATTTGCTAAACAATTGTTAACAATGTAGTAGTTTAAGTCAAAACTAAACTTAGACAATGTGACCAGGTTATTCAACCAAAATGTTAAATGAAGCTGATAGAGGTGTAAGTGTTAATGGTTATTTTGTAGACACTAGCAGTTTTACTGTTGTTGTCTTCTCCCTGCTTATGCAAGCATTAGTAAACCACACTTTGGACTCGGTCAATTTTTTAAAGGATATTTTTGCTATATTTTCAAATTAGCAGGAGGCAAAAATGTAAAAAAATATTTGAAGATGTCCACAGGGAAATGGCAAGATTCAATTTTTTTAAATCAAGCTCATGTTGGAAGAGTTAATCCGGTTCAGTTGGGAAAGTAGTTCCTGAAGGACTTTCATAACAACTGGAAAAATACAAGCAAGACTAGCAATTCTATAATGCCATGAAGTAATGCAGTGTTTGGTAATGTTCTCTAAATAGCTGATGCATAGACACAGTAAACAACTTGTCATGTATGTCAGCCTTGGCTTTATTTCTGTGATTTGATAATTTTTTTATATTTTTTTTGTGATTCTTAGGTGCTGCAGTAGCTGGAATTTACAGAGTAGCAGGAAAGAATATGGCTCCCTTAGAAGCTCTTGTCTTTGGTGTTGGACAGACAGTACTGACATTAATTATTTCATTTTCAAGAATTCTTGCAACGCTTTGAGACTTATGTAAAGGGGGAAAAATCAACTAGTTTAAAGAAATCTTTAATCTGAAGAGAAGCTTCCTGAAAGCAGATTCATCAGCTTACGAACTTGAATCCTAGCGCAAGAGAAAGGAAGCTATGTGGAATCTGCACTACAAATCTAGAGGTTCAGTCAAATGAATAGACCGTCCTCTAGTGTCTGAACTGTTGTACTTCTGCACTGTGCCTTATGTGCCTCAGTCACAGGCAGGGTGCAATCCATGTGTGCAAAGTTGAGATAAAGCACCTTGAATAGCTGCCAGTCAGGTTAATGCTTGGTGACGGGATCATTCTTCTTAATGGTGTTGTAGTAAAATAAAGGGATGCTCCTGAAAATTGCTGTATGTGCCAAACTTGGAGTTTAATTCTTAACTGGTGGTTGGGTAAGCTTTGAAGTTGCAATTATAGAAGAATGCTGTGAACGTACATTCTATCTGAATTCAGGTAAAATAGCAAGACAACCAACTTCTGTATTAGGAGAATCTCTTTGAATGCTGAATATTCTTACTGAGCATTAAAAACAACTGTTAGGTCTGTTTTGAAGTGTAGATGAATATTGGTGGGGTTTAAGAGCTTTAAGCTTTAGCATACCCTGATGTAATTAGCCCTGTGGCTCATGGCAGCTTTCTGAAGCTCAACACATCATTTCTTTATAGTTTTAGCTTGTCAGAAATCGGAATTTTAAGGAGACTGTATGAGGGTTACTAAGTACAATCTGTTGTGTATGCACAAACAAATCTTAAATTGATGCTTTCCTTGAAGTTATTTTGTCTTAAACATACAGATGGTTACCAGCCCTTCTGAAAGCCTCAGAAAGGCTACTTGTTGCAAATAAGCTCCTTATATTTATTTAAGCACTCTTAACCCTACATGTATTCTTTAAAGAACACACAAACATAACAGATTTTAAGAGACTATACCTATGAGGAAAATGGAAAGGGATAAAGAAATATATACTGGTTTTCTACCGAACAAAAAAGCTGAGTTTAATAAAATAGTTTCTATACTCCGAAAGTTTGGAAGTGGGGCAGCACTAATGTGTTTACTACCTTGTTTCTGAACACTTTCTATCTTTGGAAAGATTAAGATGCCTGGAACTTTCAAATACTTAGCTTTCAGTAGAGTTTGTGCTTTTCTAGTTTAAAAGGGACAGTAGTGTTGTGCATGTAAAATGTCTTAAACGTGAATGTTTTGGGGTGAATAGAAATTTTAAGTCTAATTACTAATTATTTATGAAATGTAAAATTTAAAGGGCACAAAGTTCTGTGTGAGGAATAAGGAATATTTTATGTCTTTCCTCAACTGAATGCTTTTCAGCAGTCAGCTTTTAATGCTGACAGGAAGAGTAAACTGCTCAAAGGTTTTGCTGTTAAGATGTCAAAAAGACTTTAGGACTGTTGAAACCACTGGCACCTACTGCACAGATAAAAGAATATGGTTAAAATATAACTTGCAATCCAGCCGTATTGCTCAGTACTTCAAAATGTTACAATGAATTAACCTGTCTGCCTTTATTTTACTCCACAAACTGTTGTTTGGTTTTTTAAAGTGCTAAGGATGCTAATATTATGTTTTTTCTTTACAAGTATTTAAGTCTTGTTTGGAAAATGTACAAAGTTGTGGGCTTAGCAGGGAACAAGGTAAAATACAGGTGTAAAACCTTTTCAGTGTTATATTTTGACTTTGAATTGCTTTAAAATGTGGCTGAATACATATATTCTCATTATTTTGAATGTCTTCAAAGACTTATTTATTTTTCATGGTTTGGGTTTTTTGTCTTGTGGTTTTTTTTGCTTTCTGCTGATACTTCCTGGCATAACAATTGTTGCACTTTAGTAGACAATGAAGTTATTGCATCTGTAAAAGGAAATTTGAACTTCTCCCCATTGTCTTAAATTATGAGAGAACTGGTTTCAGGTATTTAAGTCAAATTGAATAATAAAATAATTGAAGATATTTCTCCTAATGTGCCTTGTTACATACATTTTTTTAGGGGAGAAGATTTTAAAAAAATTACCATATCCTCATTCTCGTTCTATTTTTGCCATTTCTAATTAATTTGGTTACTTGATATAATGTCTTACTCAACATAATGTCTTACTCAACAGACATTATAACACTTCTGTTTGACAACCTGGAAATGCTTGTCTGGATCAAACCCAACTGTTTCACGAAGCACTGTATTGAGTAATTTAGATTGTCTCATGACTTCACCTCACACTTAAACTTCTTCCCAGTTTCCAAATTTCCTTGAGCATCTCGATACTTATTTATTGTAGGAGGCTATTACACTACCGCTGTTCAATGGCTTGCTATCTTTCACTAAGTTAAACTGCAGCAGATTACTGCTAAGTTATGAAATGCATATACAAAACTTTTATTGATGAACTTCATTTATTCTAATTGCGGTGCCAATGAAATTGTTGCCGTTTAACTTTCCTCCTTTGACAAGGAGGCATCTTTGCAGATTTTACCTTCCTCCAAATAATTTTCATTACATATATCATTGTAATCACTTTTAAAATATTGTTAGGTGCTTAGTTGTTAGTTGTCTTCGCTTTATGTGGCACTCTTGCCTGGCAACAATGAATAGGCAGAGAATATAATGCCTCAGTGGCTTAACAGAGACAAGGTTATGTATCTGATAAAAATTGGTTTTAAGTATTTCTTGTGAGGGATATACGAGGACAAATAGTTTGTCTACAGAGTAGTCTTTGATTCTAGCATGAACTTACTGCATAACTACTCCAGCAGTGAGAGGAAGTCTGAGTAAGTGGCCTTATGCCTGTGAAACTTGGAAGTTTCATTCCATGTCCTTCAGAACAGCATTGTTAAGCATAAGGTGCTCTAGTCAAAGTGCAGTGTATGCATGTATATATAGGTCTATGTGTGTATATATATGTATGAGTGATGGTTTTGGGTGTGCTCTGTACCTTACACGTGCTAACAATTGAAATAACTTGTCCAAGAAAAATAAAATTACTTCAGTTACCTTTTTTTTTTTCTCTCTTGCTATTAGCCTACAAAGATACCTTGTGTGTGCATGGCACTGATGGTACTCTGGTTCCCTTTGGACAATACAGTGTTGTGCAGATGTCCACACAGGATCTTTTAGCGCTATCTTGAAATAGCTCTGCCTGTCTCTGCATTGTATCACTAGGCTCATTCTGTGCAGTGTTAATGATTAATTTCTCGTAAAGAACAAATACTCTATCAACACAATTTAATCTTTGGAGGAGGGGGGAATACTGAATATACTGGTTTATGTGAAGAAGCTTCTGCTGCTTTGTTAGAAGCTGCTGCTGTTAAAGATCTAAACATTCCACGCACTTCCAATTTATCAGTATGGTAAAATTCTGTTGTGCGTCAAAAACCCCAGATATATTGCAGGAAAAAAAAAATCTTCAAAATAATTATTGACTTTAATTTCATACACAGAAACTAATCTGTGTGCCACGACTAGCAATATAATTTGAAGTTTTTTAAGGAAACCAATAATTTAACCAGGTTTGAATGTTCAACATGGACCAAAGAAAGTAGTCCTGATTTTGTGTAATGTAGCTTTCTATTTTTAAAGTACAGTGTTTTTATTACTCTAAAGGAAATAATAATCCCTCTTCAACATACTGCACGTTGATATTTATTTTGGTTACAATTTCTATTTGAATTATGTTGGGGGGCATATATAATGCTGTTTGAAGAGATGCTATAATGCAGTCTAAGCTCTAATAACTGTAAGAACTGATTGAATTGTTATTTTCTGTTTTAATTTATGTATTAATGCACTAAGCATATTCTAAGAATGTCTTTCCTGCATTAAGTTGGAATATTAAATCATGAGCGTATTAAGCAGCATGATTTTGTACATAGCCATTCAACATCACACAGGTATAAGTCCATATAAGTGACTAATTTTCTTCTTCAGACACAATAGTATTCCTAGGTGTAACAAAGTGTGGATGAATCAGGGCCAAAAAAAAAAAATAAATAGTGATTCTAACAAGGCTTAGAAAAAGAATTGTGAACATGAGAATTTTTTCAGTTACACTTCTGTTCTTGGAAGTACGCTTTTTCATCATATGTGTATTTCAGTTAAGGGGAGAAATGTGGAGATCTGTTGTTAGGATGATAAACTGCAACCTAATCTAATTCCAAGTGATTTGAGATCAAACGAAATTCTCAATTTTGTCATAAATTATAATGTATGCTACATATATGTAAATGCTAGAACATAACTTTATTTGAGTGTTACCAGAATTTAACATGCAATTGCATCAGTGTATTGACAGAATATCTTTGAATTCTTTTTTTTTTTTTTTTTTTAACCTCGGCATTGGGGGCAGCTTGAGGTGAAAAGACTTTAAAACCTCAGCTGTTGCTTCAGAAGGAATAAGGAATGAGTGTTCTTTGTGTATAGGTGAATTTGACACAGCTGAGAACTTGTATTGGGTTAAAAGTCAAATTTTTGGTCACACCTTAGTCATACTACCACAACCTTTAAGGGCGGTGGGGAAAGTATTCTGTACTCTGTTACAGCAATGAAATCTTTGGCTGGGCTGTGTTAGTTTGTGTACTTAACTGCACATCCTTTGGTGAAAACGAAGTTGTTGTAGAAGGTAGACTTTAACCTGAGTACGTACCATCTGATACCTTGCCAGTTAGGAAGATTGTGTCCCGAGAGTGTGCTGCTTCCCCTGCTTGTGCCTAGAGTTATACTTGAAATCAGTTTCTGCATTAAGTTTAAATGTAATCACAAAGACATATCAAAGTCTGCAAAGATACGTTACTCTTTTGGGTATTCTCCCAGTACAGCAGATGTAAAAACAACTATACTCTAAAGTAATGATCTAAAGAAGTATTTTCTTTCAGGGACACACATTTATTTTTTTTCTTTCCCCACTTCTAATTGTTCGTCTTGTAGTTACTGAACACTTGAAGAAGTTACTGCGTGAATACTACTAAGATTTGTCAGTTGTTAAAGGGAATAGATAGTATGTCCTTCTGTTGTTCTTTTGTGAAGAAAAAATCCCAACCTATAAGGCAAAGTAAATACTGAAGAGATATTTTCAATAAAATAAATAATACTTGATTGGTAATTGGCATTCCTTTTGATTTGAGATCTAACTTTTAAAGTTTAATTTGTGTATTTAATATCATCATTGTAAAATCTGTTTCTGGATTA